CCAAGGAGACTCCGGTGAATCCAGGGAGTCGGAGGGGCTGAGTATTTGGGCCCTTTGAGCCCCTAGCAGCCGAGTGTTAGCAGAGCCCCGGACCGCCCACCCCCCACGTGACAAGAGAACTGGCGACCTTGCCAGGATTCGAACCCCAGTAGCCAAGAACTGGGAACTTCGCCAGGAAGCGTGGATCAAGCTACAGTGTGGACCAAATTTCAAGACAAGTGTTGCCAGGGTACTAATACAGTGTGGCCAGTGAATTCGGTGGTACTGTTACTCAACCAGCTAAGGGACTGAAACGGTGAAATTAGTGCCTACTAACTTGTCTGTGCTGTCGTGTATGCTTGATGATATAGAGATGGAGGAAGACAAAGTAAAGAAATTTATTGACACAAGGGACGAGAGAATTTTGGAAGAGTGTACCAAGGCCCAGCTCCAACAAGTGGCAAACCACTTTGGGATCAGGTTGAGGACGACTAAGGTAGCGGAGCGAAGGATAGAGATCATGGCACAGCTCACAGCTCGAGAGGAAGCGACGGGAGAGGAGCCATCTCAAGAGGAGCCGTCCCGAGGAGAGCCGTCGCAAGGTGAACCGTCCCGACTAGGGCCACCCCAAGCGCCTACCAGTGTGGAGAGAATTCACAGTGAACATGGGAGCAGCGGAAGGTCCAGCTGTAGTAAGAGGAGCCTGCAACTGGAAATAATGAAGATGCAACTGGAAGCCCAGCTGCGACGAGAGGAAAGAGAAGCGCAAATGCAGCGAGAGGAACGTGCAGCTGAGCTGCAGCGAGGTGAGCGAGAAGCACGGCTGCAGCTGCAGCGAGAAGAAGGAGAGAGACAACTGCGACTGGAGGAGATAAAGGCAAAGAAAGAAGTCGAATTGCGTCGCGTTGAACGAGGTCTGCCCTCACTACCTGCACGGCGGGATGACCTCAAGGTAAGGGAACGTGACTTACCTACGTTCGAACCACAAGAAGCTGAGGCGTTCTTCGAACACTTTGAGCGGATAGCGACTCTGAAGGAGTGGCCGGAAGATGATTGGGCTGCTCTGGTCCAGGGCAGGTTGACTGGAGAGGCCCGGGAAGCCTATAACATGCTGGACCTAGAGGAGTGTACTAGTTATGACGCGATTAAGAATGCGGTTCTCCACTCATTCCGGCTGACTCCGGAGATGTACCGGAAGCGGTTCAGAGAGTGTATAAGAGCGTCGGGAAAGACTTACGCCGAGACCGCCAGGGAGATGGAACGGAAATTCCTACGATGGTTGAAGGCGGAGGAAGCGGAGTCGGTGGATGATGTTAAACGACTGATAGTGATGGAGAAGTTCATGTCGGTGCTCCATCCTGAGTTGCGAGTAAGGGTGAGAGAAGCAGGTATTAAGGACCTGAAGGCTGCAGCGGATCGAGCCGACATGCTGGAGGAGGCACTACATATCAGGGGGGAGGGGCCACCCAGACACTCGCCTTACCCAAGGTCGGGAGGGAACCTTAGGAGTTCAGGAGGAGCGAGGACGGGTGGGGACTCTCCCAAGAGTAGTGTGCCCGATGAAGTAACGTGGTGCAAGAGCTCAAGAGACGCGGGGAGGAAGCCCAAAGCTGTGAGCAGTGGACCTAACTCGGGAGCAAATGCTGCAGTCCCGGACACGACGACAGGGAGTCCAAGGAGGACCCAGGGGACGTCTGCAAGTGGTACCGCCAGAGTGACTGGCGAGTGGCCGCCCAGGAGAGGCAGCCGATGCTACAACTGTGGCGTGAGAGGACATTATGCCCGCGAGTGTGAGGAGCACCAAAGGAATGTAGGATTAATGTTGGAAGAGGAGAGAGTGTTTGTTCACACCCCATATTATAGTGGACCCAACGTGAATGGTTGGGAAATGAAGTTGGGTGAACATCCCTTCGTTTTCGAGGCCAACGTGAAGTTTGGAAAGTCAGACCCAGTGGAGGTTGCCGTGCTTCGAGATACGGGTGCTGACATAAGTATGGTGACCAGGAGTATTCTCCCCAAGGAATTTAATGATTCACCTGTGGGAGTGGTGAGGATACGCAGTGTGGGGGAGGAATACAGGTTGCCACTTCACGAAGTACAGCTGATTGCCGACTACGGAGTCGAGAGAGCTATAGTAGCTGTAGCCCCTAAGTTACCCCTAGAGCATGTACAGATGGTGCTGGGTAATGACCTCGGAGGAGGCAGGATACAACCCGATTGGGCCAGGAGTGCCTATGTTTCAAGCAGCGGTACAACCCTGCCAGGTGAGGTATCAGTCGCTCCAAATAATAGTGAGGAAGCCGACTTCGACAGGGAAAACGTCGCCAGAGACGACGACAACGAGGGCGAGAGTGCAGAGAGGTCGTCGGAGGTTGTGGAAAACCCCGACGGGGACCTCCGACTAAGCCTGATGATGCGTGTGGAGGAGTGGCGAGGAGCAGCTGTACAAACGCCTGGGGCGGTGAGGAGGCTGCAGACCGCACTCCCTCCATACAGAAACGTGAATAAAGTAAGCTCAGTGGATGAGCGAACGGCAGTGAGGGGCAGAGTGGAGGAACCACGACGCAGTGCACCCTATGCCGGCCAGATGAATAGTGGTAGGTGCAAGATGAACCACCGTGGTGAGGTGAGCCACGGGGAGGTGGATGAGCCCAACCACGAACCGAAGAAGACGTCTGCAGGGAAGAGAATCTCATGGAGGAGTGAAGATGTTCGTCGGGAGCGAAGGAGCGAATGGTATAGGAAAGGCAATACGAAGAAAGCAGGGAATAGGTACACCCAGGGTAGGCGCCAGCCTAACCAGAGGGGCATTGGGCCATCGCAAAAGCCTAGTGTGGAAGAGAGGAAGCTGATGGATGGAGTACAGGTTACAAGTGCCACTGTGAGGAGACAACGCACCTACGGGAGAAGAGGAACCGAGAAGAGAGAAGATTGGCGAAGAGGAGATCATGAGAGGAAACATGGAGTACCTGTAGGACGCAATGGAAATGCAAGACTATCTCGGAGTGCACGACGCGATGGAGGCGCTGCATGCACTGAATCTTACAGTGGTAACGTGCCGTGGGAGTACACTCGTAGCCACGGAGAGAGGATTTCTTGTAGGTGTTCAGGGAACACCCATCACACCCGGTACTATGCGAGGTGGAGATACAATGAGGCAAGTGACTGGCAAGGTGGTACGAGCCACGTCACCAACTGGAGGAGTGACACTTCAGGAACGGAGGGAGCAATAGTAAGGAACAGTTCCTTACTAATAGTAAGGAACAGCCCTCGTAGTGATAATTGCGTCATTTATAAAATACCTTGTAAGGAATGTAATAAGTTCTATGTCGGGCAAACATCTAAAGATTTAAAATGTAGAATATCGCAACATAAATACTCTGTAAGACATGGCCAATTGTCTAATGCTTTGTTTGTGCATTTGTCAGAAAAAGCTCACCAAATTGATTGGGAGAGTGCTTCTTCAATAACAAATTGTAAAAGCACCTATAACAGAAACATAATTGAATCTGCTTTGATACAGATCACCAAAGAAAGTAATTTGAATATTAGCAGTGGTCTATATAACTTAGATCCATTTCTAATAGATCAGCTAAAGGGCGATTTAAGTAGAATCATTGAAAAACATTTGTCTCACTAATTTATTGTATATATTTACTTCTTTAAGTTATAATTACCTATATATTATGCTTGTATGTCTGCTGTATCAGATGGGCCATTGGGCTACATCGGATGTGTCAATTGGGTGCATCTGATGGGCCAATGGGCCCTCTGCGTTGTCCAAGTATTGTACCTCACCTTACTTCACCACTCCTTCCTGCCTATTTATACCCATCACTCGATCTGTAAAATGACCTTCTGAAGATGTATTTAATATACGAAAGTACTTAAGGAAATTTCCTGTTTCATTTTTCCTCCGTGGTCTGACATTGTCACATTCTTAATCACGTGTTTATTTTCGTGATATACACACATATATACATATATATATATATATATATATATATATATATATATATATATATATATATATATATATATATATATATATATATATATATATATATATATATATATATATATATATATATATATATATATATATATATATACACATATATATAAACACACATAATGTAACTAAAGTAAATTTTCTGCATTCAAATTATCTCCAATTTATTTCAAAGAAAGGCCGTAGACATGAAATAGATTTTATTTAAAATACACCACCTGCAATAATTATTTGCTATACACTAATAACCTAATTTATGTTTATTACACCAACAGAGCCATTTTACTAAAAAGCCCGGTTAAATTATGTATTAATACATAAAACGAGCTTATTAAATTTTTATTGATTTAACAAGGCTAATTTCTTAAAAAGAATGGGTCAAATTAGTTTTAATACTCAAACAGTGATAATTTGTTTGTAATTATTACACCAACTGTGATAATTGTTTAATACGCTAACACGGCTAAGCCAGGTGTAACCCCCCCCCCTCATCCGGCCGGAATTAGCTTATCTAAATCATTCACAACAAGACTCACAAAAAACTCGCTAACTCTAAGATTTATTAAGACTTACAACAGACTTCATTACAACAAATATTTTATATTCCCCCAGTCGCGTTTTGGGCATGGCATTAACTGTAAGGTTAGTGATGTTTGTTCACCTGAATTCAGTCAATGACTGGAAGATTAGGTGAAAGTGGATGATTCTGACAGTATTTTCCTGAACTGTAGTTGGTAGTGACAGATTTGATATATATATATATTTGAGAGGATGACTGTAGGGACATTTGACTGTATTATGGATGACTGTAGGGACATTGACTGTATTATGGATGACTGTAGGGACATTGATTGTATTATGGATGACTGTAGGGACATTGACTGTATTATGGATGACTGTAGGGACATTGACTGTATTATGGATGACTGTAGGGACATTGACTGTATTATGGATGACTGTAGGGACATTGACTGTATTATGGATGACTGTAGGGACATTTGACTGTATTATGGATGACTGTAGGGACATTGATTGTATTATGGATGACTGTAGGGACATTGACTGTATAATGGATGACTGTAGGGACATTGACTGTATTATGGATGACTGTAGGGACATTCACTGTATTATGGATGACTGTAGGGACATTGACTGTATTATGGATGACTGTAGGGACATTGACTGTATTATGGATGACTGTAGGGACATTCACTGTATTATGGATGACTGTAGGGACATTGACTGTATTATGGATGACTGTAGGGACATTGACTGTATTATGGATGACTGTAGGGACATTCACTGTATTATGGATGACTGTAGGGACATTGACTGTATTATGGATGACTGTAGGGACATTTGATTGTGTTATGAATGATTGGATATAGGGTTGACTGAGCTCAAAATGAGTGGAAATTTAGATGAGTGAATCTAATCAGTTGACATTCATCTGATTATCTGCTCCATTGACCACATAACTAGATTGATGTAATGGGATTGATGACTAGACTAATATGAAGTGTAGATTAATGTAGAAGAATTTATTATAGTATTTTTCTACAGTGAAATTAATGATAACAAATATAGCGATTGAGTCTACACTGTATTCATTATTCGTCAAATTTTAACGAAACCCGAATCATGCCAATCCATATTACAGCACACAGATACGCATTTTTAAATTCTCAAGCTTAAAATCCTTACGGATTAACTGAAATCCGGATAAGATGGCCCAGGAAGAATCCAGGCAAATATTATTTAAAAATATATCACAGTCGGATAAGCTGGGGCTTATGAATCAGAATTGGTAATAAGTCGTAAAATAATTCCAAATATCCGAAAAAGTGTGAATTCACTTAAATGGAAGTATGTATAACTTAAAATAGAGATGATTTGGAATTCGGATATCGTGAAGAACGTATATGATCAAATATAAATACCTTGGAAAACTTAAAGTTTGGACTAGAGATATCTTACACATCGGATAACTTGAAACTTGGAGAAGTGTGTTATCTTGCACAATGGATAACTTGAAGTACACACAACATGGAGTGCGGATAACTTTGGGATGGCATAACTTGGTGTATGGATAAGTTAAAGCGTGAATAACTTGCAGCTCCTATAACCTGGAGTAGCTGTAACTTGATGTATGGATAACTTTAGGGAAGAGATAACTTTAGAGAACAAATAACTTGATGTATGGAAAGTCCCAGTTAATGACCACCAATTAGTCGCAGTTAATGACCACCAATTAGTCCCAGTTAATGACCACCAATTATTCCCAGTTAATGACCACCAATTAGTCCCAGTTAATGACCACCAATTATTCCCAGTTAATGACCACCAATTAGTCCCAGTTAATGACCACCAATTAGTCCCAGTTAATGACCACCAATTAGTCCCAGTTAATGACCACCAATTAGTCCCAGTCCCAATTAATGACCACTAATTAGCCCCTGAGAACTAAACAAGAATTATTTAGACAAACAAAAGATGGCGTTTAGATAAGAAAGCATCAACTTCGAACTATCTTTAAAGTTTAAAAGTAGATAAATTTCGATACAGATGCCGCTAACTTTGGATAAAAAAAAAGAAAATGGCATCAAGTAATTGTACATTACGGTCTACTTATATTTCTATATAAACTACTAAACTATATCTAATTCTTTAAAGATAGTGTACTCTTCAGAGGAGGGGGGGGGGGGAATTAAATGTCACTCTGAAAAGAGTGCCAAGCTTAAACTTCCATAATAGACAAGCATAAGAGGCAAAGACAGACAGACAGACACACACACACACACAGAAGACGTGAACTCAATTGCATGTACAATATTCAGAGGCCCATCAAGTTTGGAAGACATAATGCAGAGTCCGGTGGGCCTTTCACAGATTGTCTTATGCATTGACATGTCAAAGTTAAGCAATTTTTCAATCCCTAAATCTTTTCTCTGTGAAATTCTGCATAAATTTCACATTTTCCAACTTAAACTTCTTTTTTCTGTAATGAGCAGAATGTACAATTTTACTACTTAAGCATTTTCTCTAAAATTTAACACAATATACAACGTACAATGATTCAATAATTGTGAAAAAACACTGAGGACTAATGTATATTTATCAATAATTTTAATTCATAATAATTATTGAATAATTATTTTTTATGCAAACAAATGTTCGATAAGGTTTAATGTAAAACAAAGCTTTGCACGAAATATTTTATGTTTACAAATGTTTTATGTTTGTTAAGGTTAAATGTTTACAAATATTTAATGTTTAAAGGGTTTAATATTGAGAAGGTTTAATGTTTACAAAGGTTTAATGGGTAAAAAAAAATCGATAAAAGTTTAATGTTTGCAAATGTTTATCGTTTACAAATGTCAAAATCTATAAATGTTTAATGGCTACACGTGCTTGTTGTCTACACGTGTTTAATGTATACAAAGCGCTAATGTGTATAAATGTTAATGTCTACAAATCATTAATGCCTAAAAAATTTAACTTCTACTGGTGTTTAAGGTCTATAAATATTTAATATCTAAAATTTTTGAATATTTACAAATGATACTGTCTCAATGAATAATTAATACAAATTTTAACGTATAAAATAATTAACTAATAAAAAATTGAATGTTTGAAATTAGTAATGCATAAAATGTTTAATTTTTACAATTATTTACTATAACGATATTGTTGTATATTAATAAAGCATTCACAAACAAAGAATGAATGTTGCAGCAGACTTTAGAATGTTGAAACTCACTAGAATGGTAATATTCTCCCAGTAGGGTAATGCCAACACTCTCACCGTCTGGATAATTATCATTTGTGACCTTAGACATGCGGAGAGTATTGATTCAAGATAATGTTTGGAACACCAGAAATGTGTTGGGAGATATATTAAATTATCTGGAGAAGAGAGAGAGAGAGAGAGAGAGAGAGAGAGAGAGAGAGAGAGAGAGAGAGACATACAGAGATGGAGAGGGAGAGACATACAGAGAGAAAGGGAGATAGAGAAAATAAGGAAGAGAGAGATAAAGAAAATTTAGGGAGGGAAAAAAGTGGACAGAGAAATAATTAACTTCATGATTAAACTCTAAATAAATACACAAAAAATACCTATCTCCATACCACCATCTTAATTACCCGAGGCCTCCCAACAACCGGAGTTAACACTGAATTAAGAGAACGGACAGTGGCAATGAAATGCCTTATCAATAAAAAGAAAGAATTTTCACGTATCCGCACACACAATGACACAAGAAGAGGCCTGAGAACCCTCCTGATTATCACAGATCGTATGAATAATGTTGGGGTCATTTGCATACGTTTCAGCGAGAGACAGTAGCTTGATGCTTCTATATTGGAGCGGAGTCTTGAGGTGGGTAGAATATAGTTGTGCATTAATTGGCTGTTGATTGCTGGTGTTGATTTCTTAATGTGCAGTGCCTCGCAAACGTCAAGCCGTCTGCTATCGCTGTATCTATCGATGATTTCTGTGTTGTTTACTAGGTTTTCTCTGGCGATGGTTTGGTTGTGGGAAGAGATTATATGTTCCTTAATGGAGCCCTGTTGCTTATGCATCGTTAAACGCCTAGAAAGAGATGTTGTTGTCTTGCCTATATACTGGGTTTTTCGGTTTTCAGTCCCCAAGTGGGCATTTGAAGGCATAGACGACGTTGGTCTCTTTTAAAGCGTTCTGCTTTGTGTCTGGAGAGTTTCTCATGAGTAGGCTGGCCGTTTTTCTGGTTTTATAGTAAATCGTCAGTTGTATCCTCTGATTTTTGTCTGTAGGGATAACGTTTCTATTAACAATATCTTTCAGGACCCTTTCCTCCGTTTTATGAGCTGTGGAAAAGAAGTTCCTGTAAAATAGTCTAATAGGGGGTATAGGTGTTGTGTTAGTTGTCTCTTCAGAGGTTGCATAGCGTTTCACTTTCCTTCTTATGATATCTTCGACGAAACCATTGGAGAAGCCGTTGTTGACTAGGACCTGCCTTACCCTACAGAGTTCTTCGTCGACAATTTTTTTCTTCATTAACTGACATTTGTCCATAGAAGTAATGCATATGACAAGTGACATATGACACTGAGTCTAGGCAGCCAAAGACATAGCTTCCCGCCAATAGACTCGACTACACCTAGTGATACATAAGTAAATGTGTCCATGACTTGTTCACTGATCTATCGGGACACCTGCCCTGTATTATCAAGAGAATTTTAAGAGAGTAAAATGAGATTAAGTTTGTCAGCGGCAGAGTTGCCGTTTGTCTCCGGCAGTGATGGTCGGTTGGTCGTCAGTCCCTAACAAGTCCAGCTGATCAATCGTGAGCTGGACGTGTATTACACGGGACGCTGACGACTTCCTCCCCCCTTCCCCATTCCCCTTTCCCTCACCATCCCGTCATCCCTCGTCACGTGCCTCCCCCTTCTTTCCCTCCATCTCTCCCTCCCACTCAGTTAAAAAAAAGCAAGTTTCAGTATCGTGGAACAGGAGTGAGGGAGAACTTTTTTTTTTTTGCATCTTGTGTCGTCTCTAGCTCTTGGTCCCCCTCTCCCACTGCTTCTCATCTTCCCTTCTTCGTCTGTATGCTCCTCTTCCTCCTACTGCACCTTTCTCTCCTGCTTCCTTTCTTGTTTTTCTTCTTTCTCCTCCTTCACCCCCCTTATCTTCCTCTCCCATCACCTCTTTGCTAATCCTCCTGTACCTTATCTTCCTCCACCTCCTCCCACCTCTTCCCTCTTCCTCCCTCTAACTCCCTCTTCCTCCCTCCTCCTCCTCTTCTGCTACTTCCACTTTCCAAATATATTTCCGCCTCGCCTCATAAGTCGGGCCGGGCCAAGATGGATGGTGGAGATGGGAGGCTGCAAAGCTTTTTAATCCCTCCGTTGGTCAGCTTGTAGACTGTGTCACACTTGGTCATATACTGGAGTGTGTACGTCCGAGGGGGGGGGGGAGGGATGGGTGTAGACAGAACAAAAAAATCGTGAAGGGTAAAGGCGTTGAAGGGAGGATATTGGAAGGAGAAATTTAGGGACGGAGGTGGATAAGGCGGGAGGTGGATAGCGAGAGACGGGCGAGGATAGCGAGAGAGGGGGAAGAAGGATAGCCAGGTGAGGAATATCGAGAACAGAGAGTGAGGATAGTGAAAGAAGGGGGGAGAGGACAGCGAGAACAGAGAAGGAGGATAGTGAGAACAGATGGGAAGGATATCGAGAAAATAGCGAGAGATAGCAAAATTTGGTGGAGGATAGGGAGAAAGGCGGTGGATAGCGACAGAGAATAAAGAGGGACTAAGAAAGTGGAATAAAGGGGTAGACGTCAGAGAGCAAAATGAAATGAAGAAGAAAGACTGTAGAGAGAGA